GGATGCAGCCCCCCCCCCCCACCCCCCCCCCCCCACCACCACCAGTAACGTCTCATTTCTAGGCAGTAGGTGATGATAAAACAGAGCTGATCCGGTCCGGGTGGGCCTGGTCTATGTAGGCCACAGACCACAGTATGATTAGCTGTAAGTGTAGGCTTATTTTTATCCACCTACAGCAGCCGCTCCGCTTCACCACCGTGTAACATCATTTCACCTGATTAGACGGCTGCAGTGTCAGCAAGGCCTGAAACACACACACACACACACACACACACACACACACACACGGGCTGGAGTCGATAATGAACGCAGATGAACAGGTGTCAAAATCACCTCTGTGTGTGTGAGTGTGTGTGTGTACATGCAAAGTGTGTGAGAGAGGAAGAGAGGCGACAACCTACCTTTTTATAACCCCATTTTTTGAAGATATTTTGGCGTGAAAAAAAAAAAAACAATTGAAGAGAAGAAGAAAAGGAGGAGGAAAAAAAAACGTGTCCTTTTGTCTGTCAGTGTTGGTGAAACGGACAGAAAAGCTCATGATGAGGCTTCATGCTGTGGCAGGGCTGAGTGTCTCCAACGACACCTGTTAAACATAAATCCATCAGTGAGGATTGATGGAGTCGAACAACAACATATAATAATCATGAGAGGCTGGAGGACCACAGGAATCCACAAAGATGTGAAGCCACATTCAGTGATGTAGGCAAGTAGATCCACCGCCACCGCCACCGCCACCCAGCTCCACACGGAGGGATGTGTTGGTTTAGTTTCGTTGTCTTTTTCTTTTTTGTTTTTGCTCTGAATATCATCCAAGAAAACAGATTTTATGTTGCATCACATCGAGGATGGCTTTTCCAGAGGGCGATGGAGAGAGAGAGAGAGAGAGAGAGAGAGAGAGAGAAAAACCCCAAACACATATGGACACAGACACGCAGATCTTCATCCGTTATAAATCCAAACCATGGCAGATTATCGGCGTTTATGATGGAAGAAGAAGAAGAAGAAAAACCCACCTAGAAAAAAAACAAAAAAAAAAAACAGCAGAGCGCGCATCCACTAAATGAATCGTCTTGACATCATGGTAATTGGCTGCTTAGTCCACACACACACGTCTCTTTCTCCCATCAATCAGTGAAAAAAAAAAAAAAAAAAAAAAGGGGGGGCGAACGATGTTTTTACCCGGAACCGTGGAAAACTGCGCTCTTTGTTCTGCCGTCCAGCCGAGCTGTACTACATCTTAACAACGGTCCACAATCACAGGCTCGGCCACACAACCGACGCATTTTTTTGTTTTTTTGTTTTTCAATGTGGACCCATCCAGCGATGTCACGAGCGAATCCACACCGCAAACGTCGTCGAGGCCTCGGTTTAAAAAAAAAAAAAAATACGGAGCCAGAAAATCAGCCCGATCTCATCCTGACAACAGAAAGAAGGAAAGAAAGAAAAGAAAAGAAGGGAATAAAGGAAAAGAAAAAGAACGCGGCGGCCGAATATACAGGAATAATTACTGGATAATTCCAATTATAGCTGCTGGAGAGGAGGCAGCTCGCACATTCACGGAAACAGTCGGTTTTATTCGGAGGAGGGAGGGGGTGAGGAGAGAGAGAGAGAGAGAGGGAGAGAGAGAGAGACATTTGTTGGCCATCTAGCATGAAGATGTTGTTTTTTTTCTCTTTTTAATTTCCATCATGATGTGACGGTTTCCTCCACTGTGGACATGTCTGTCTCTGTCTCTGTCCCTGCCTCTGTCTCTGTCTCATTTGGTCCAGACTTAGAGGATGATCAGACTAAACCCAAAATGACACAGGCTGTCCTGACAGGGCTGCAGCAAGGCATTCTGGGTCCTTTTTTAAAGATATAGTCCGCAGTATTCTGACAGCTCCCTTCCTCCCCAGCAGGTGGTGCTGTGAGCCCAGTTGTGATGCAGCAGTTGGCTGTAGGATGTCCCCGTGTCCCACTTTGTGCAGGGCAGAACAAACATTTGGGTTTTTTTTTCTCATCATTTGAAGCCTCTGATATTCTGATGTGTTGAATTTTTCAAGGCTGTATGA